ATCGCCCGGTTCCCAGCCGGGCCGAGGTGGCCTTGCTCTGCGCCCCGCGGCTCCAGCAAACGGTGCCTGAAAACCTGGCAGCCCTTTTTCCCCTAAATGTCATCGCACTGCACTGGTTTCTGGTTTTATGGGGTTTTTTTTCTGGCTCCTGTATTGTCAGAAGTAAACCTCAGTGTTTCTCCTGTCCCTAAATACTGTCTTTTGGGGATACTGAACCCCAAGCTTCAGAAAGAGAAGGGAAAACCCAATCCACACCAACCTATCAATGATTCCAATTTATACATCAATCCATCTACCCAGGCTGGAATCCTCTGGGTGCTGTCTAGATCAGCTGCAAACTTAGGTTCATATTTCTCAATGGACATGTGTACACCCTGGTATAGATGTTGGGAACGGTTGGTGTCCTGGGAAGGCTGGTTCATGGTGAGCTGCTTGATCCTCATCTATTCATTAAGGGGGTAGATGAGCTCTGGAAATGAAGGGGTTTTGACAAACTGAATCATGACAGAGCTGTTTGGTAAATCCTGCTGAGCAGATATCAGATGTTCTCTGCCCTGGATTGGGCAATCTCATAGTTTCCAATGGTTGGGGAGTGTTTTAACCACTGAAGCATGAGGTTTTGATTTTTTTTTATTATTTTTTTTCTCCTAAAAGAGAGGATTGTTGTCCACACAATCTTTTTTTTTTGCCATTTTGACCATGCTCACATTTTTTGCTCAGTCTTTGGCTGGCAGATGAGAAAGCTAAATCTGAACACACTGTTCTTGGCAATGACTTGTCTTTCCACTCCTCCAGTCAGTGGGATCATGAGCTCCATGTTAAATTCTCTTTGCCCTCCATTGTGAAGGCATTCACTTTTACCCCCCTTGTTTCACAGGTACCTGTTTCTCTTTGGCCTTCCTTTGTCCCTGGCTCAGTGCAAGTTGTATCAACTTTTGTCATCAGCAGATTTTGTTATGTTGCTGCCCTTGCTCCTACTTGGTGCAAAATCTTCCCAACAAGAATCAGGCAGTGCCTAGCTGAACCACCAGTTACCAGCTGAAGAGCTTTCCAACAGATGCCACTGCCCAGGGACTGGCCATGTCCCCCAGACCCCAGGCCCTGCAGGAATGAGCTTTCCTCAAGCAACGTTCCTGGGCTGAATTTTGTAACAGTAGCTGTGGTGGTTCACAGGCACCTGTTTGGATTTTGGTGCTCTGTCATAACCAAAAATAAAGTAACTTTCAAGGTGGCACAGCTTAATTTGTCCACACTGATGGGTTTAACAAGAATACATCGTAAGTTCTCGAGGTCCCTTTGTGTGCAGTGGACCTTTGTACACTGCCTCCTCAAACATAAGTGGACTTCCTTTCCCAAGTCAGCATTTTGTACAACCCATAATTTGTTTGGGTGGCAAGAAATAAAGCTCCTGGTTTATATCTATAGCAGATAGTCTTGAGTCTTGCATCCTGTTGGACTATGTTGTGCAGACTTCTTGCCTTTCAAGAGGATTCACATTAGAGTAAACCCCCTTGGAAGGCTGTTCAGTGTGTTCCCTTTGTGCTAGATCCTGATTCTTGCCCTGTTTCCTGGCTAATGCTCCCAACTGCTAAGGGCTGCTCCTTGGTAGGTTTATCCAACACAATCTGTCCCAACAAGTTTCCCCTTTGCTTTTCAAACCCAACACAAAGCACTGATGAAAACTAAGTTTCCTTCCTTTTCCTCCCAAGTGACTCTGCTACAAAGAATCCACTCAGAGGTCTCGTCTGTCCTGTGTCTGTACTACTTTGAGTCTGTGTTCAGGCTTCATACATCAAAATAGACTGAGCTCTGCTTTTGGGCAGCAAGCAGAAGGGTTGTGTCTGCTGCAAAGCAAGTGTGGAAAGCAGGGTGACAGCACACAGACCTCAGGAGATATATGTGTACATCTGCCATTCAGCTTTATTTTAATTTGGCTAAAAAATAAGTCTCGCTTCTGACAGGCAGCTAGTGGGGATTTTAATCAAAGCACTCGAGTCTGCATGCACAAGCACTCAGACACTCTGGCTTCTCCCTGGAACAAATGAAGATTCCTATTGAGCCTGAAATCCGAGCTGAGCCGTGTGGGACTTCAAAGTGGGTGTTTTGTCAGGGATGGGTCCGAGAAATGCAGCTCCCCAGTGACGCAGAGCGCTGGGGAATCTGAGCCTGAGCTCCCAGTCGGTTACCACTGTGTGCGAGTTCTGCCGTGTCCCGTCCTGTCCGTGCCCCCTCTCTGCCCGGTTTGGCCTCATGCGAGATCAATTCAGCTCTGCCTCCCCTTTCCCCTCCCCCAGAATTTATCTTTAAGCTTCCAGAAAAATAGTCTTGATATTAGTGCAAAGAAACAGTGGCTCATGAACCAAGACACCAAGACAGAGCACGTGCCGAGGTACCTTCTGTGCTGCTCAAGTGAGGACGGCAGGTCACACACAGTCACTTGGCAGGTTGGCTCTGCTCTGCACCTGATTGTCAGCAGTAGAGCCCTGACTTGGCAAACTTTCACATCTATAGTGACTCAGTGTTTGCTAAATAGGAATATCCCAGGCCTCCCCCAAGGTGTGTGCTCGAGGATATTCTTTTTCTGTGCTAGACAGCGAAGGAGAGGAAGAGAAAGGACTGGTAACCTTGAAAATACTATTACAGCTATGATGTTCTTCTCAGAGACACCCTGACTGGAACTGCCCACACTTGCAGGCATTCCATGTCTCGCCACACAGCCCCAACTAACCCAAACTACGAGGGATTGGTTTTCATCTCCAGAACTGGTGTTCCTTGATGCAGCTTTTAACTTTCCCACTTCCTGGGTAGTCACTTGGTTACGGTTAAGCGCTGGTGACAGTTTCAAAATCTTTGCTGTCTTTCCTAATATTTGGCTCGGTAATCCAGTAGCCTGCAGCCCTGCTGCTGTGGCTGCAAGCGTTCCCTGCTGTCTGCAGAGGCACGCAGAGCTGTGTCGTTCCTTCGCGCTGGCACCAGGCGGGTGAGGCAGAACCGTGGGGGAGGTGGGCTGTGTCTGGCACCAATCACAGCCCACCCGCTCCAGGTCATTAATCTGTTAGTGCAGTCAGTCTTCAACTTGAAGTGTGGCTGATGGTTTTGTGCATGTGCCATCAGCACCTCCCTGCCCCATGTCCCAATTCTCCATGCCCGCAGTGGCACACGGAGCCAGGACAGCTCTGCAGCGTCCGACCTGGGATTCAGATGTGTGAGACAAAGCGGATGCGCTGGGAGTACGCCAGGTCCAGGACGTAGAGCAGCAGGTTGACATAGGTGAACACGGCGATCACCAGCTGGCTGTCCCAGGGGCACCTGCCCTTGGCGCAGAGGCCGGGGCGCCGTGGGGAGCCGTACTTGCTGTCAAAGCAGAACACTGGCCAGATGACAGCAGCACTCACGTAGAGCAGCACGGCCCCGAAGGTGTAGATGACCACAGAGCGCTCAAAGGGGAACCACAGCAAGGCAGTCTTACCTGTGACACTGAAGGCCACTACCACCACTGTCACCACAAAGCAAAAGCTGTAGACGGCCACACACCACTGTGTCGCCACGTATTTGCTATACTGGCTGTCGTTCACCAGCGCCCCAAAGATGATGCAGGCCACGAAGGCCTGCACGATTTTCAGGAGCCCGGAGACGGTGGCCATGTAGCTGGTGACTTGTCCTGGTTTCGCCCTGGTCAGGAAGACCTCGGCGGCGTAGGTGACAAACAGAAGGCCTGCGAAGACGCTGGCTGCGATGCGGAAATCTCTCACCTCGCAGCCGATGGGGTAACAGTCCAGCTGGACAAAGTAGAGCGGGTAGATCACCGCGGCCGTGATGGACATGAGCGTGGCAAGCATGGCAAAAGCAGCAGTGAAGTTTCCCCAGGAAAGGCTCAGGCAGCTGTGCAGGTGCGTGAACTCACAGGCGATGATGAACACGGTGATGGCAAAGCAGAAAGCCCAGACAAACATGCAGAAAGTGCCATAGGCAGCGCTGAACCCTCCTCGGTGGGCAACCAGGCTGAACGTGGCACATCCAAAGGTCATTTGCAGCAATCGAGCTATTCCTACGGGGGAGGTCACTGCAGCCACGTTCAGA